CTATGCTATTTGGATAATGTCTCTGCCGGTGTTGTCAGATAGGAAAAGCGATATGATAACGCGGCGAATCCCATCTGGGTACCCCCAAAGCAGCGACGAAGACAAGATCAACTACACCAGCATAAGTAGCTAGGAAATGGGAAACAATTTCGCATTCGAGTATAGATCTTCCAGTACTCCAATCACGTACGACCCTAATCTGATAGTATCAATGCTTGACCGTAATGAAATTGAATCCGGGCCTGTCTCGTTTTAGCAGCCGTACCGCTCATAGATGACGTATACTTTCCCTGGCCAAGACATTTCCCACCTCTGGATGTGGCCTCTGAAGTAAAGCTCTCATCTATCCCGCTCCTTGAACCGTCGACTCAGCTCGTAGAGCCTTTACAGCCGTCTTTAGCCACTCTCTCGCTCAACTCGCGCGTCCTGCCTACGAGATGGACTCGCGGCTACCACACCCTCGCCAAATTCAAGCACAGCTCCAGGCACTCGGCGACGAAATCCAGAGCATCCGCGAAGAACACGATGGCCACATTGTCGGGCTAAGCCAGCGTCTGCAACAAGCTGAGAACCGCCAGCGACAACTCCTACATCAGCTCCAAATTGCTACGAACCGCTTTCCTGGACCGCCTGGCAGTAGTCACAGTGGTTACTCGAGTTCGACTGCCAACCAAGATAATCCTCTCCCTCTCTCGGAGTCTCTTATCGGTACTGGTCGCATCACAACACCTCCACGAGCACATACCGGTGGCGCCACGAGTAACGACAGGTATGATCGTACCCGCTTCTTATCATCAGGGGAGGCTTCTTCTAGACACAACAGCTATTCTAGTCGCCCATCCCCTGTTCAATCGGTGGATGCGAATGCTACACCACGCGCACAACACGCTGCTCCCCCACTGAACCCAGTCCGCCCTCAGCAGCCAGTCATTGGTAGTAAAGACAACGCAGCTTATCTTCCTATGGTCATGGAGAATATCATGTCCGAGCACCGCCGCCACAAACGTGAGGGCACCTTGAGATCTTGGTGAGATGCTCTCTGAGCGAGCGCTCATGAATGAGTGATAGTGGCTAATGCATATCAGTGGATTCGTTTTTCCAGAAGGGCGGACCAACGATGTCAAATGCTCTCAAGACTCTTTCCATATACCCTGCTTTCGTGCCAACCACTTCTACTATTGCCGACAACACATGCGTGTCATCCCTGGTGGGAAGACGGTTTGTAGCCATAGGAACAAGCAGGACTGCTTGGTGGTGATATTTGGTACGTTGTCCAAACATGGCTCTTGTGCTCATACGTCAAGACTATTAGTAATCATCCACAGAAGATCACGATGACTGGGACCTGATCGTGGATGCTGCACTCGCGGCAGGCAACCTTGGCAACAAAGGAGTGGATGTCGAGGATCTGAAAGAGGCTCTCTTCCCTCCTCAGAACTACTCTGATCGATACATGAGCGCCCCTGGCTGATTTGGAAGAAGATAAAGTACCCGGTGGTATGGGAAGGGCTTTAGGGCGAGGAAGGGCAGAGAAACAGTTGCAGCGGTGGATCAGCTCTTCGCGTAATCCGTGTCATTTTCCGATTCAATCCCCTTATGACCCTATCTGAGCAACTACATCGAGCGTAGTGTTGCATACAGCCTGAATGCGCACCTAGAGACAAACATTGAGCGTATCGAGTGTCTTTCGCGGCACGGCCTCGGTGTCTTGGAGATGTTCATGTCTAAGGCAAGGTTCGGCGTTGTGTGCCGTTGGCGATATTTCAGTTGTGCCTCCGGGGCCATTGATCCCACGTAAATCATGGATACAGAGTGTGGCGACGTTGGGAAGGTTTGCTGAGCCATGCTTGGTGTCGTTAAGATTGTAGGTTACCACGCACGCTGTGGTCCATGTTTCGTTTTTTGGCAACGCCAACACGCAAGAAGAATACCTACGCACGGCTGCGTGACGCAACCCACGTAAGTGTTATTGTTCAACGGTCGGACAAAGCGCGCTCACATTTGGACGAAGTCGCCCATGCCCAGCTGAGAGTACCTAGGTAGACGAGAAGCGCGCGTCTTTGACACGCGCTAATGACGCTTGGGCCTTGTCGCATGATTTGTCATCACTCAACAAAATATCAAAGGGGGCCGGGGTGCACAGAAGAATTTGCTCCACATTGCAAGCTGCATGCAGACGCGCCTTGAATTCTTCTGCCAAGCGATCAACTATCGCTTCAGTACGCGACAAACCATGTGTATTAGACCACGCTCTCATGTCCCCCGTTCTCCCGACCTCGGGAACTGGAGGTCATCTTTTCCGCTGCAGCTCCCTCCCTCCACTACACTCCCTCAACCGAAGGTCGAGTTCAGTGGCCCGAACTTGATGTTGCTGTAGACAACAGTGGCATCAGCATGTTGGCTCTCAATGTCTGCCGGCACACCGCTCGTCGTCTCGCATTCTCCCCTGCCGGTACCTAGATCCGTGTCTGGATTCTTGTCTGTGGGATACGTAGAGTCAAGCCAAAGCATGTTGCTGTAATGGTCATCCCACAGGCTCATGACGAGGACCATGCCGTTTGCGAGAGCCTTTGCCATGTTCGCCATACCGCCCTTGTCTTTGAACGTGTATGTATCGTGGAACGCAGCTTTCTGTTCGTCGCAAAACTTTGTTGTGATGGAGTTCCCGTCTACGCCAGGAATAGTAGATGCAGGCTGCGCAATAGTCTTGCCGTTCTGGACATAGAAACGCTTGATCTCCATAGCGTCCCCGGTACCGACAAATTGTGTGACCACGGTGAACTTCTTTGAAGTGTCTACCGTCTTGCCCTTGCCATAGAAGTCTTTGACACCCATGCGGTAGCTGTTGAAGTCACAGCCGTCAGGATCGCAAACCCCGGCATAACGGTCGGCCGAATAGGTACCTCCGCAACCGTCGCCGTCACAACGAGACTGCTCGATTGTGGAGCACGAGTGTGGGGTGACGGCTGTGCTGACAGCGTTCGCTTCCCAGATGTCCATCTCTGCGCAGCACGAACCATGGCCCCCAACCCCTGCATTCGCATCGTTGGAGGATGGCTGCCAACCTTCGACATTTCCCTGCAGCATTCTGAGTAGCTGAAAACCAATTCTTGGAACCGAGCGTGACTTACCTCGCCGTTGATGAACTTCAAATCCCGTGGGCACTGGGCGTCGCAGTACCCTGTGCCGTATTTGGCGCCAGCCTTGTTCGTCGAGAATTTCTTCAATCCGCCATCTGCATCCATTGAAACAAAGTACAAAGCGCCATTGAACCCGCATGGCAGGTTCGACACGTCCACATCGAACGTGAACTCTTGGTTGCCGGTAAACTTAAACATCTGTTCAAATCCACGGATCAGTTGAGACACTGTTTGTACCTACGAGAACGTTACTTACCTCGTAAGTCGTATCATCCTTCATGAGGTACGTCCGAGAACCGATGTTTGTGGAGTAGGAACCCTTCGTGATGAACTTCAACTTCAGGGAGTTACTGCCCGCGGTGATGCCGTATGTGCCACTGTAGTCTGCGCCGTCAACGGCACAGTTGGCCGCACATGCCTTATTGTCTGGGCAGGCAGTTGCGTTCCACTCGTTACCTGTGTAACAGTTGTCATAGCTAGTCTTGTGTTAGCAGCTGAGTCAACCCAACAGACTGTGCCTATGCCATTACCCTCCTTTGACATGAAGCCATCGCCAATTGGCGTCGATGACAATTTTACCGTTCTTGGTTGTGCAGCTACCCTTGGCGGTGCAAGACTGCCATGTCATTCCTGGATGGGTTTCGGTTTGCTGAGTACCAACAAGCTGTGCGTGAACGACGTGGTAAAGCCACGCGGCAATGACGAAGTAGTGATACATGCCCAGATGGTGAGCAGTACAGGCTTTGGGGTTTCAGTAGTATCGTGGGCGAAGACTGACAAAGGGTTGAATCAAGATCATGGCAAGTGCATCGGCAGGCGTCTCTTATGTCCCATTTCGCGGAGCCGTCTAATTACCCTTGGGCGTATGTACTCTATGTTCGATCTTTCAATCAATGTGTCAATGAATGCTAAACCACGCCCCAACTGCTGCAATTGGTGTTCAAAGCCTTTTCTCGCATACCGATAATGCGCGCCCCCTACATGCCATGTCGAGATTCATCTCACTGGAGGCTAGAACATGACCGACCACAGACGCGGACAGCTTATGAGATGAATTGACTGCTTAGTGCGACGCGGACACCCGTAGGTCTACAGGGCAATCTCCACGCAATGTAGGAATCATTAGACATCGTCATCGCAGCCAGAAGGTCACTCGGACAGGCGATGTGATGCAACAACCCTTTTGTTCGGCTGTCTACCCGGCTAAGCATACCAAGCATCTTGAAGCTCACTGCCATGAGCTGGGCGCTGAGCACTATTAACTGGGTATTTCAATCCCAAGTCAAGAGCAGCTCCTGCACAGATGCATGCGCCTCAGACCCGGTCCCGTAATACCCTGTTAAACTACGATTAGAATGCGTCTTAGGTCTTCGATGGGTCGTGCTGTCACTGCACAGCGGAGAGTTCAACTGCCGAAGAAGATATGAAGGCAAGCCAAGCTGATCATCAATTATATGAAAAACAAGTACCGAAGAGGGGTAGATTGACGATACTGTTGATACCACGAGACTGGAAATGAGACATGACCAGCATTCCCCGCATTGGCACAAAGAGGACCCGATGAGTGCGTCGAAATGCCGGCGATTCCATTTATTAATCGTCAGCACTGGTGACGCTACACTATCGACAGGATGGGTGAATGCTACCTACCTAGGTAGCTGGAGGTATGGCGGCCTGAGCGTACCTGGGGACGCAATGGTTCCAAGGTTAACTGGGTCTGTTGCATCTCCGTCTTATATCCGAGTCTGTGCGCTCCAACCCATTGCCTCATCTCCACCTGATCTCCGCCTTGTCCGACCTCCAGCTGTTTCGCCATTGTCAACGCGCATCGCAGTCCCTAGTTGCCATCCGTCATATGCCATGTCCGCTCCCGGCGCCGAGTGGATTAGCGACAGGTCTCGCGAGGAATCCCCAGAAGGTCACGATGGCTTGTCGCAGCGACGCACGAGCAAGAAGCGCAAAGTGTTGTCGTGCTACGCTTGTCGCAACCGCAAGATGAAGTGTGATCGCGTCTTCCCAGTATGTGGCCGATGTCAGAAAAACGACAGAGGTCACGAGTGTACATATGACCCCCGGCTACTTCAAGAGTCCCACCGTGACAGGGGCGCTGCGTCTCTTGCGCTTACAGAGCTGCCAGTCGAGAGCGAGCCCTCCTCGGACGCATCGAATGCATTACAACGAAAACTCAAAACACAAGAGAGACGAATTGCCATTCTGGAACAGAAACTCATCAATCGAAATGGCGGTGGTAATCCCCCGCAATATGGGGAGTTTGTGCCCCATGAACCCAAGATCACAGAGGAAATCATGTTCAGAGGAAAGGGTTTCAGATCCCAGTTCAACGGCGCAACGAGTATCATGAGCATGATCTCCACGGTACAGTCCCAAGCCTGACGTCAACGTGATAGAAACTGACCACCACTAAGTATCACGAGCTACAAGCTTTTACGCGAGAGGCTTTGACCGTCGATCACTCCATCATGCGTGTCAAAACCGACTTCAAAGCCTTTCGCGATCAGAGGAAGAAGTCTGCGAAGAGGCAGGCCACTAGATGCTCTGACATCGACTCTGAAATACTCGCTATCCTTCCGGAGAAGAGCATAGTTGATACGCAGGCGGCTCTCTACTTCCAAACGTGGGAAACAAGTTATAGAATCCTGCACGGGCCGTCGTTCTGGGAGGATTATCGAGGTTACTGGGAATCATATCGGGACGGAAAGGGACCGGTGAGCTTCGCCGTCTTGCTCGTCTTGCTCGTCGCAGCCACGAAGTGCCTTAACCCGAAAGATGATGTGTTTGTTGGTGACACGACTGCCGACAGGCAAGCGGCTCACGAGCTTATTAATTTATGCGACAGCTGGATCGCTGATCAGCCGCGCAAGCGGGTTACTTTAGCTTTGTTCCAGCTACAGTGCCTGTCGTTACTCGCGAAGCGTGTCAATTGCGTGCGCCTGAAGCAAGACTGGGTCGCATCGGGTGACCTACTGCGACTCTCCCTTGCATCTGGTCTACACCGTGATCCCTCTCTGCTCGGACATGGTACGATGACAGCTTTCGATGAGCAAATGAGGAAGCGTCTGTGGATTACCGTCATGGAGCTGGAGCTCCAGTCGTCCGTTGAGAGTGGCATTCAATCTTCGCTCTCCGGACTATACTGGGACTCGCCTATCCCTGATAATCTTGGCGATGAATCCTTTTCGCCAGATATGCAGCACATGCCGGCGGTATGTAGAAACGAACCTCGGAAGAAAGCGTTCCCTGTGAGACTGACACCGTGCAGTCCGACGAGAACTTCACATCAGCTTCGTACCTCATCGCAACTACAAAGTCACTTCCACTCCGTATCCATTTGACGCAAGTGTTAAACACCCCTTCCAGTGCTCTCGATTACGACGACGTGCTGCACTACGATGCACGGATCCGCTCTGCATTGGCCGCACTACCCGTCTGGAACGATGATCGCGCACTCGTACCTTCCGCACTCCTCCAGTTGCAGTTGCGACAGTATCTCTTATTGGTGCACAAGGCCTACGCCAGACTAGCCTGCACAGACAATCGCTACTTATACTCGTTCACAACTTGTGTAGAAACGTGCAGCTCTTTGGTCACCACGCACGATCGCCTGCTATCAAGAGGCGTTCTAGCGCTGAACAACTTCCGCAACGACGTCATCAGAGCTGGTCTGACACTTTCGCAGATTGTCTACCACAACTGCACTCTTCGAAAAGTTAAATCGTCCCGTACCCCTGCAACTGATTCTACGAATCACAGTGCAGACCATCACACTCATTTTGCAGACCTGAGTAGGCCACGGCGCTTGGCAGCCTCCGATACATGTCTAGACCTGTATCTCACGGCACTACCGCAGGAGTCGTTCCTTGCAAGAACACTATGTATATCTTCGATGGACATCCTAGAGCGAACGAGACAGATATTTGAGATCAAGGTCTTCCGGCTTGGTACAGGATACATGGAATGCTGGCTGTAAGTTCTTGTGTCAACAATTCACAGCAAGAATTCGCTGATTTTGGTTCTCGTATGCACAGCATGTCTGCTGCAGTAGGCATGCTACCTCCTCCATCACCTGCTACATCCATAGCCTACATCAACAACATTAACGATGACGTACTTTCAAGATGTCACAAAACGCTCGACTGGTTTACCTCGTTGGCTTTCAGAGTACTAGCTCTACAACAAGATCCCCTGAGTCGCTTGGCGTCTTCCCTTCGCAGTACCATGAGTACTAGGGAAGAGATCGTCTCGACGTCAATGACCGCTGAGAGTACACCTACCACGTCACTAGATGGGGTTTGCGTAGAAGCCAACACAAGTAATAGTACGAAAGAAACGTATGGACCATTCGATTCACTACAGGACATACAGTCAGATATGAGCGGCTGGTCATTTCCTGACTTCTGGGCGTTTGACCTTGGCGGAGACTTCTGATCTTCATACATGCAATGACTTCAGATAGACACCGCAGCTATAACTACGTCTTCGCACATGCTAGCAGGTGTATATCATCAAACACATTGCATCGCCCTAGCTCCTACTACCCCATGCTATTCCGGCGCCGTGACTCTTCGAAGTGTGCCTGTTTTCTACTCCACACATACTACAGTAGTTCTTTTTTTTTTAGGTTATGTAGAGTCTCTTCACAGGTTCTCCTATTAAGTCGTGCTTTTCGACAGTACTCCATTATCATCTTTAAGAGGTATAATGAGCAGTTACTTAAGACGCTGACAATGCCATCTAGCATTGCCATTATTAAAGGAAGCTATATAGTTGCATGTTAGAGAGCTTTGTTACGTCGTACTAACAACAACTAGTGCGACGAGCGGGATAGAGCTATATCTACCGAAAAGACACAAGCTTATTAAGGCGCACTACCACGAAGATTTTGAAGCATACAAATATTTAAAACGCCTAGACAGACTTATGTAGGGTTATCAGAGCTTGCTTTGTTATTTCCGTAGGCATTAGTCTCGTTTTAGAGCGCATGGGAATCAGCTTTCTACGCGTCACTGTGTTCACTATTTGTTGGTTAAGACCCTATCATTTGGTTCACTCACTAATGTCGCCCTAGTAATATAAATACAGGGCTTCCTCTATCTTATATAGAACAATCACGCTGTACATCTCTTCTTGCTCTATACCATGTGCAGTTCTGCGCTGCGTTTATTTTGACAATTTTTCCACGACTGGGGTCAATTAGCCTTTCTGGTTTCAACAAGCCTTTGGGAAGGGAGTTCTTGTCGGGAAGCGCAGACAATCAAGAACAAATAGTACATACGTAGACGGTGGAGGGCAGTCACTGCTACATGCTTTTAAACTACGCAAAGACTGTGAAGTCGAAGGGGACAGTTCTTGTTTCGAACTATGTCGGACTTTTTTAATGGTGTGCAATTCCGTATCAGGACAAAATGACATGTAACAACCTAAGCGTTCTGCACTACATCCTAGAGAATCTTATCTAACCCTGCCACGAAGGCACAGTAATCGGCTCGACACATATCATCTAAATGTGCGTTCTGGGTTCCTGTTTCGTCCAGAGCGTTCTCGTCTTGTCTAGATGCCCGCACGTCTTTGTAGTTGCAGATTTCTGTCTTGTGCCGGGCAGGTACCTGGAGGCGCCCAATGACTGCGCGTGTACTTCGAGCTTCTATCTTTTCTGTTTTCTCGCGCAGAACAAAGTAAGACCCTGATCGTTCGAACAGAAGATCTTCTATTTTCATCCCATTCGGTGGAGGTGTCGGCGGCCAAAGCACAATGTTCGGCACATCTGAACGGTCAAATTTCTCGATCAGTATCTTGTATGGCAGCGGCTTTGAGGCTTGATTACCCTTCCGACCATGGCCGTATTTTCGCACAAGGTGCGGCACAAGATCATCACCTGGTAGACTTGCCGTCTTTTTCTGGCCTCGTTTTGAGATCAAGTCCTTGAATGACTTCATTTTTTTCGACGGTCTTGTAGGTAGTAGTACTGCAAGCTTGAACAAGAGAACTTCGGCGAGGCAATTTAATACTGTTGGTGATGTGTTGCTGTTACAGAACAGTGTGATGCATTAGTGCATGCGCAACGTTAGCAAACACTTTGGAGCCTTCTCACAATGCTAGTCGTGAAATTGGAAGTAGCAGCGCTCCAAATTATACACTCAAACTTATTCTGGATTGAATTTGAGTCCCAATCTTTTGCCATATGCAAGGAGACGCGGAAGCAAAAGACGTGGGTTGAATAGAGTGCATGCCGGTTTAGTCCAAGTGTTGGTCTTGGGACACTGTAAAGATGAGGTTTATTGCCATCACTCGCAAGACATGTACAAGACTACTGGCCCCAGACGTCCGCTTACAAAGTTTATCATCACTTCCAAATTACTTGTGTACGCCTGTTTCATTATGCGCGTCCTTGAGACCCGTGCAATCGGTACAGTTGGAGCAACTATCGCCGTCAGTCTTTCCGTCTATCGCATTGCTTCATACGCAGAATGCGCCACTTACTTTGTGCAGTCGTTGCAATCTACACAATTGCTACAGTCTTCACAATTATCACATCCGGTACAGTTGTGGCAGCTGCTACTATCATTGCAGTCGGTGCAATTTCGACACCCCGTGCAGTCTATATTCTGGTTAGCAAATGCTCGAAGTCTGTCAAAACTTCCAAGAGTGGCGAGTGTACGAATGCAAAAGTAGCCTGACCTTTGCAATCCGTGCAGTTCTGGCCTGAATGTGAGGGGGAAAAGTCAGTGTTGTTCTTCTCGAGACATGGTTTCAAACCTACAATCCTCGCAACCTGTACAGTTGGTATTGTTACGGTTACCATTGTTTTCGTCGCTGGATACGCGAAGCGATGACTGACGACAGCCCATATTTAACGTACGTGATGGGCGAAACGACGATTGCGTGTGCAGGTAACAGGATTCCGAATGTGAATGCAGGCAAAGTGGACATGTATGTATCAGTTTTCATGGTGGGGAAAATGAGACGGCAAGAGTATGCAGCCACGACGTCATTTCTGACGCACCTGGAACAAGTGTTGGCGAGCCCGAACACAGGTATCGATCCGAACAAGGCAGGCTAGAAGTGCATAATCATGATAGACACATGTAAGCTTGGCGGAACTTGGACTAGACGTCTGCGTCCATCTTCCAACAAGTCTTTCTACCCAAGAAATCACAGTCGATATAGTGTATAGCTGCTGTGGATTGTATATAAGAAAAAACAATATTTAGCTAACATTGCTGCTGTAACCTAGAACTTCTACAGCTACATTAAGAGTGGTGCTAACCAACCACAACGCGACTAAACTCCACCCAATTCTCTTGTCCATTCGCCACTTGCGCAAAGGCACTGCAAGGAGAAGTCCAGCTAGCGTCACGAGCAGAGTGCCTCCGGAAATGACCAAGGTGGTACTCACGGCAATGTGGTAAGGTCTGAAATGAACCGACTGGTCTGGGTGCTTCTCATGGCGGTGCTCGCCCTTGGTGATGATCATGTAACATCCACTGAGGCCTACGCCGAGCAGGATATTAAGCATTGGGCCACCGAAGCAGGCTGAAAGTGCCATGATAGGAAACCCGAGCCGCGCAACAGTGATGTCGGCGACAAGATCACCAAGCGAATTGCCAACTGCGAAGATGGTCAAGCCGAGAATCGCGTCGGACATGTTGAGAATAACGCCCAAGGTACGCAAAACACCGACAACTTCATTGGCAATAGTGCTAATCCATGCAATGGCAACGGCAAATCCAAGAAAGCACAACGCGGGCCGCCAATTGGGTGCTTGATTCGAGGCAGTGGTCAAGAGGAGGAAGACAAGAAGGCAGAGTGAGACAAGCATGCTGTAAAGCGAGTGGCGAAGCAACACAACTGGGTTGTCGGGTTCGACATTTACCCAGACGACTAGTACCAAGAAAAAGGGCGCCGTAAAGATCTGGACGATCACCAGCCAGCGGTTCCATTGCGCTGGCCCGATGGATGTTGAGGTTGCCGGGAGCTGCTCGGGCGATTGCGCTACGTTGTCGGAACTTGTTATGTACACTTGCGGTGGTTGGCTGGTGGTGGTGCTGAAGGATCCACCGTCCAGCTGTCGAGGAAGGCTCGTAGATGATTTCGAGTTCGACAGGCCCGAAATGGTGGGGTCGTCTCGTGGCAAGACAAGGGATACACTGGGAGTTTGCGATCTCATGCTTGCATCACCGGGTGTAGCTGCGTGTGGCATACCGAGATCCAGGGAAAGCTGGGCATGGCCTCCGTCGTTCTCGTCTTTTTGCGGCTCGACCACCGGAAGCGTTATAGTAAGCAGGAATACAGGCAGACTTGCGACTAGCCCCAAAAGCTTATCGAAAACGTTCTTGTCACGCCAGTTGGTCAAAGTGGGAAAGAGGGTAGCAACCAGACTATGCGGGGTCGGTAGGAGTGCCGAGGGCCACCACGTGGGAACTTTTGTTGGTTCGAGCTGCCCAAAGGAATCTCGTGGGAAGTAGGTAGATTCGAGTGACACACTTGGCGAAGGCGGACGTAGACTCTGAGGTCTGGAAGTGGACTGTGCTGACCAAGGGTAATCGGTGTAAGGCGGGAATGGTATGGGTGGGGAAGTCGCATCTGGTACGGCCAGCTTCAGACTAGGCTGTTCGCGGCTATGGCCGGAGTTTGATGCCGGGCTTGATCGTAGATTCGGCGAAGGCAGGACTACACGAAGGGGCGCTCCATCCTCGGCACCTGGAGGCGCCAAATTGTTGGGTGAAAGCAGCCTATCTCTCGGTGCCGTAGGACTCGGGGCTCTAGAAGAGCGGGAGACTGGCGAAGATAACGAGATAGTTGGTGAGGGCGGCGCTTCCAACAATCCGTTGCGCTCGCGGGGAGTGGCAGACGCAAGTGTTATGTCAGGCACGCATTGTCCTTGCAGGGTGCTTGGCTGTAGTTGGACATTGTCAATGTCATTGGTGGAGACAGCTCGCGCTCGGTTGCCTAGACTCTGCTGGATCTCGAGATTCGGTCGGCTCAGGTGGGGTGAGGTGGAGATGTTGGAGGCGGAAGAAGGCAGGTCGAATGGAGGCCGAGTCGCTGGACCTGTAGTCTGTCCGATGTAGGATTGCTGCTGGGCAGTAGTGTAGGTAGGGTCGTCGGAATACCGTCGCAGGCTGATTGGCATAGACTGGATGTTGCGCGACTTTTGCAGTGAGGAAAGCACGGCTCGGAACTCCAAAGCTCCTACTAAACTGGGTCGGATCGGGGTATGGGTGTTGCGCCGCGACACGCTTGGGCGGTTGACGCGCATATTGTTGGTCAACTCGCCCATCCAGCGCTCACGTTCCTCCTCGTTGTCATCGTCATGTATCGTATTGTCGCCTCCTGCGCGTTCGAGCATGGAAAAGTCGTCAGCGGAGGCGCCGTACGCAGGGGTCGCAGAAGCAGCGCTGATTTCGTCGTCGTGGTACTCTGGAAACTCCTCCTCTTCACCGCCGGGTGTTACGTAGTGGCTCCTAATAGCGGCTGCTCGCGCGCGTCGGGCTTTCCGTAGGTTGAGCCACCAGTGCCAGGCCACAACAAAGGCGACGTAGAAGATGTAGAAGGCCACCATGCTAACGGACTCCCACAGGTGGAGTTTGCCGTCGACAATGAAGCCCATGCTAAAGGCAGCAGCAACAAGAAAGAAGCCGACGTCACGGACAAAGCTTTTGCGCGCAACCTGGAAGGGGCGGATCAGGGCCATGGAGCCCGAGACGACAGCGGTGATGAAGCAGGCAGCACCGATAAGCTCGCCGACAGCCAGACTGGCAGCGTGGGTGCGGAAGGCGGCAAAGGTGGAGAAGACATCGGGGCTGCCGTTGCCAAAGGCGAGCAGGGTCACGCCGGCCAGGCTCTCGCTCATGCCCAGCATGCGCGCTATGGTGTTGAGGTTGATGCAGAAGAAGTCGCTTGCGGCAATGCCAATGGTGCTGAAGAGGAGGGCGAGCCAGAGCGTCAGCAGGACAAAAGCGACGGGCTTCGCGTGTGGGAGGCGGCAGTAGTAGAGGGCGAGGTAGGACATGACGCCAGCCTCCTCATCGGGGCAGTTTGCGCGCACAAAGTCGCATTGGTCCAGCGCATGGTGGACGAGGCGGCACTCGGCGTCCTTGGTCGAGACGGCCCCCCTCGTGTGCAGAGCACGCCCGGCTGGGGCTTGCGACCGGGCCCATGCCAGCAGCGAAATGAGGGATATGGCGAGGATGGTGAGGGCGAAGGGGCGCGCCGAGTAGCGGGGGCGGCGCAACCGCTGGGCGTGGGCGAGGATGGTCAGGTCGTCCATGGGCGAGGCATGTTGGTTGAGGAGTCGAGGAGAAGACGGGTTTTAGACGGTGCGAGGCGTGAAGGCACAGCGGGCGACGAGCCAGCGGAGGGCGGTGCGTGAAGCGTTTGGGCTAGCTAGTCCGGGGAAATGCCGCCACTGCGCTAGCGCGTGGCGGTGCTGCCGCTGCCTGTCTGGTGATAGCGGCGGGGCAACTGTGGCGCCCAAACAAACAACAGCAACATGGCATCGACGCCAGAACCGCTGTTGCAGCACCACACCCATCGCCCAACATGGCGCGCTCCACCAAGTATACCACGGCCGCCTCGCCCCAGAAGACGCCTGTCAGGTAGGCCCCAACGCTCCGCGCGGGCGCATTGCTAGGCTAACCCGTCGCCCGCAGAGTGCCGCTCAACGACGACCGCCAGGAAAAGGCCGCCCGCCGCCATGCGCACCAACAGGCCCAGCGCGACTCGATGCGCGCCTCGACTACGACTGCGACTCCCGGACGCCGCCGCGTGTCGCTTGCCGCCGCCCACGACACGCCACGCACCCCGTCGCAAGATGGCGACGACATGCCCGATGTTACTGGCACAGCTGTTACACCGGGCACCCACATTATGCCCCTGCTGGCCAACTTCGAGGAATGGATGAAGATGGCGACGGACAACGTAGGCATGCGCACGCCCGTCGTCGCTGCTCCAAGCTAACGCCCCGCTCAGAAAATCAACGCGAACAACTCGTGGAACTTCGCCCTCATCGACTACTTCCACGAAATGTCCCTGCTCAAAGAGGGCGACGGCGTCAACTTCCAGAAGGCTAGCTGCACGCTAGACGGCTGCGTCAAGATCTACACCAGCAGAGTCGACAGCGTTGCGACCGACACGGGCAAGCTGCTCAGCGGACTCGCCGAGAATGTGGGCAAGAAGCGGAGAGGACACGGCGACGATGCCGATGGGAGCGACGAGGACGAGGGCGACGGCGAGGAGGCTGAAGCCGGAGAGCATGGCCAGAAGAAGCGCAAGAAGAGGGCTGCTCGCTCTGCAGAAGCCACGCTCGCGTCGTCCTTTGCCCAACTGCAGAACAAGAAGATGGAGCTCGAGTTCTCGGTTGATCCGCTCTTCAAAAAAGCCTCGGCCGACTTTGACGAGGGCGGGGCCAAAGGACTCCTTCTTAACCACCTGGCTATAGACGGGAGCGGCAGGATTGTCTTCGACAGCAGCGATGACGCCAACGATGCCGCCACCCAAGATTCACTCTCCACTCATGACCATCAACTGGCCCCCGACGCCATCGATGTTGACATATCCGGCCTGACTGCCAAGTACTTCCACGATCTTTCCCAGCTCGACCGGCAAGACGTGTGTCCGTCGATGAAGACGTTCGATCTCGGCGATGTGAATGGCTCTATGGACCTTCCCTTCCTCAAGGCTGCTGACAACTCCTCCGGTGAAGACGGAGCCAAGCACGGAGACGACAACGCAGGCAGCCAATCAGGTCTTTTTCTCGGCGACGATAACCCCATGGAATTTGACGACGATCATGACCTGAATATGGGCGGGTTTGATCTGCCTCCAGAGACGGGCTTTGGCGAAGGCGGGGAGATCTGGGCTCGTGAGGCTATCCAGCATCCACAAGCTCGCATCCACACCATGGACCTGAATGGCGACGAGAACACAGACAGTGCCGACGCTCAGTATGGCGTGTCCATGATGCACGGCCGCGACCAAGAACAAGAGAACATCCTTAGCTATTTTGACCAAGCTCTTAAGAAGAGCTGGGCAGGGCCTGAGCATTGGCGCATCTCACGCGTCAAGCATTCCGCAAAGACAGCACCGGCGACGAAACGGAAGGAAAGGGAGCCATTCGAGATCGACTTCACAGCTCCAATGACGCAGACACTAGCAGATGTGCTCTACACGCCTGCGACATCCAACTCCGCGATATCTCTACCCAAAGCACAATGGAAGTCCAGGTCGCGCAACCTTCTCCCAGACGACAAGCACTTCAACTCCAAACAGCTGCTGCGTCTTTTCCTTAAACCCAAGGCGCGTATGGGCTCACGCAAGGGAGGACGCCGTGCACATGCACTCCATGGAGATTCAGCACGCGTGGACGAAGCATACTGGGCTCACCAGGGTCAAGAAGGCGACGGTGACGATGCACAGGGAAACTACGACGCCGACTTTTTCCAGGATGATGGTCTCCAGATACCTAGTGGCCCTCTCGACGATGACGATGTGTTTGCAGATGCGCGCGATCACTTCTCGCCGCCGCCTGACGCACCTGAAGCTACACTACCACTCGACGGCATGCAACCGGGTTCGCAGACCGACGCATTCGGTGCTCAGCTAGTGACGCAAAGCCGACGATTTCGGCCTGAATACGTCCAGTACGCAAGGGTCGCAAAGAAGGTGGACGTGAAAAGACTAAAGGACGAACTCTGGCGGGGTATCGGGTTCGATGGCGTAAGTTGTATCTAGCCGTCTTCATCTGACTCGCAAGCTCACAACCATCAGATTTCTGCGCCTCCTCAGCCCAATGTTGCCGACGATCCAGCAAACAAGGCCGTGGATGGTTCGTTGACCTTTACTGACGTTGTCAACAGCCTACAGGCCGTTTACCCAAAACAAACCCTGGCTGATATCTCCACAAGCTACTGCTTTATTTGTTTGTTGCATCTGGCCAACGAACAAGGCCTGGTCATCGAAAATCAGGAAACCTTTGAAAATTTGACGATTCGGAAAGACTTCACGGCGGACTTGGACGTTGGAGGATCGTGAGGAGATTTTGGATAGCTTGCATGAATTGTGTAATAATACAAAGAGAAAGGGAACTATTCTGCCCACAAATCCTTTCCATCACTGGTGTCGCAACTTACTCCATCTCTTCGGCCTTCCTCCTCGCGGCCTCCGCAGCTTCAAGCGCATCTCGCAGGCGCAATGCGTAATCTCTCGTCTTGGTCACCCGGTGGCGAAGTATGCTGGGGGGTTTCTCGCGAATCTTTTTGTCGTGAATCTTTTTGTCGTGAATCTTTTTGTCGCGAATCTTTTTGTCGCGAATCCACTTCTTCCACCCCATCAGCTTCTGCTGTAATTTGATCAATCGCCGCACACGCTCTGGGCAATTGTCCGGACAGCTCCGATGTCCTAGGCAACGAAACCCATAGCCAGGTGTACCTAGGTTGTCGCCGCAACGGCACCGCTCGTTGCCCTCACACAGCTGTCTAGCCAAATTCTCGAGATGAAGCTCGATGACGAGATGAGATGGGCGGACGCAGTGGCTGTGTCCGCACAGGTGTGATATATCCCAACGAAGATAGCCCGGACGAGCATGGTTCATAGTGCAGTATTGCACGAAATCCCCATACCCGCAAACAATCATCGAGAACACCTTGTAAGCTATATCCACATCATCCACATCGGTCTGGTAGAAATGCAAAGTTAGTATAGTTTCGTCATTTACATTGAAAATGAAGTACTTACTGTAACGTGCTTCATAGGGTATTCTTTTGAGCGAAAGCCAAACGGATAATCATAGCATGCCGTCTCATTTGCAACCCAGCACCCGCCATTTACCTCGGTAAAGTTGTCCTCGAGATAGGACCACGCCTTATCCTCCATCCACAGGTGCGTCTCGCTGTGCATAGCGACCCATTTCAACGCCTGGTACTGTCGCGTCTCACATGGTGACAGCTTTGGGAAGAGATGCGCATGCTTCGTGCCAAAGTCGCTCGGTGCTCGATGCAAATGTCGCATCTCCTTGGCCCGGTCGGGCCGCTCGAACACAGGCTCGAAACTGATGTGGTTGAACTTCGCGTCGATGAGATATCTCTCCAGCCACACGTGTTTCTCTTTGACCTTTGACAGACGCTTTACCAACTTCTTGACTTGTTCAATCACCTTGGATGGCAACATCCCAAAGCGAAGTAAGGGCAGGTTGTCGAGTGTGGGTTTTCCCCCGGCCATGCCCTCGCCCTCGGGAATATGAGGTCCTCGGAGGGACTTTGGGGGGCCAGGCATGGCTGACGTGTTCGGCAATAAGATTGAGGTTGAAGTGATAAGTGGTGACGCAGAAAAATACGAATCAAGAGGGAACTGGCTTTCATTGATCGTACGTGGCCGGACACGCGTTATATATCATGGCTGCTTACCTACACAATGCGTCACGCCGCCATGCTAATATCGGCCCTTCAGGAACTTACCGTGCGTCGGACTGTGATAGCCAAGCCACACAGGTTCCAGCACTGCAGCATTGGCAGGGGACGGGATGTTCTCGGCTAGCAAGTCTCTCCTGAAGCTATCCGTGCTTGGGCTACTGCTTGGAGGCAACATGCAATTGGCTTCAACATTCCACGCCAACCTAGGAAAAAACTGAACAGCCTGGAGCCTACGTTGACGTTAGGTCACCTACTTTGCAAAGATTTGGGTCAATGTAGTCTGCAGACCTGTTCAGTTTTTTTCTTGTATGAGGTGATTCAGTAAGGGATTGCCTTCGGTGCGGCTGCGAACGATATTGATTCTAATGCAGAGTAGATCAACAACAAGGTAACGATACATGCGGTGTTTCAGACATATCAGTGGCGTGCGTGCGTGCCTCCACTACTCCACTATCTCTGCATAGTCGAACTTGTCAGGCCGGTGGCCATCTCGCTTCAACTGCCGCTCCACCTCTTTCAAACGCTCCGGGCAGAACTCAGGACATTCCTCGTGGCCGAAGCATTTCTGGCCGCGTCCGCGTGCATGGGTACAGCCATGGCCAGAGCATCGCGATCGTCGCAAGTTGACTTGATGTGAGTCAAGCACCAGGTGGGACGGCCGATAACAATGCGAGTGACCGCAAAGATGTGACACTTCGAACTGCTGGGGCACATCTCCCACTATCGTCGTGAACTTGAGCGCCCACCTGAAGCCCATGACATTCATAGCAAGGTGGGTGTATGCTACCTCGCCTTTCAGCTTCTCGTTGAGACATTTGCGATCGACGTGGTATACGCGGTACGCGTTGGCAGCACTCCCGAACGGGCGTTCCAAAGTCGGCGTTCCTTTCGCAACCCAACACCCTTTAGGACCCACAACTTCAGTATCTCGCGTAAGCACTTCCCAGCACTCTGGGTCTCTAATGCGCCTCGAGATCCTAAACCTTGGCGAGCCGAGTCGGTACTTGTGCTTGGTCACCAGGCCCTGGTATCGCTTCTGATTCTTTTGCTTTTGTGGCGCTATGATTCGCTCCTCCAGCAATCGGTTGGGCATGACGGTGGCCTTTCGTGGAATACGGACATGGAGCATGCGCTGTACATGGAGTGCAGGGGTGTTGTGGACTATTGGCACGTTGTCTACGGCGGGAGAATGCACCTGTGGTACATCGCGTCGGCTACCATGACTTTGGACTGAATCGTTGACAGGTTGAGAAGCCAAGCTGTGTCGTGCATGGCTGTTTGGGATTGGACTTGATCCAGATCCAGATCCGGATCTGGTGGTTGGTGCCATTGTCTGCAGGCAAACCTTGAAATATTGATTGAAAGTAAGAGACGTAAATGGAAAGGCAATGAGAGCCTGCCTTTGCTGTATACTGTTGGCATCAGGATATATACGCAAAGTCAACTCTCCAAATATCATATGGCTGGAGGAGAGGGTACGAGAAGACAGGTATCATCAGCATTTCAGAACTGGTTGCGAGTTGTAGCATGATGCATGGTAACTCAAGACCGCGATGACTTTGGCGCCGCCGAATGAGATGTTCGAAAGCGAGATGCACTCGGGATGGGGCGCTGTGGAGCATCTCGAGACGCAGCTCACGAGAAGACTGATAGCCAGCGGGCAACGCACTGGGAGTTGGTGACCCACCAGCTCGTGGGCAGCCTTGGAAATTACCACTACGATCGGCTGCTGGCTCTTCTCGTTTGTCCGGCACCAGTCGCCGTCCTTCTCCGTCTACATGGCCTGATGTGGCACAGGCGTGGTATTGCAGCACCTGCAAGCGACAGATCGTGTTCGGCGACAGTGACAATGTTCCGTCGCTAATCCTTGCACGCCCGACAAGACAATCGTCTCACCATGTCTCGTCGAGGCTGATACTCCAGGTCGCAAACATCTTACCACCTGGGCAAGCTGGAATGCGCTCACTACCGCTTTGGCTGCGCGTGGAATCCATGGGTGTAGTTGAGCTCCAGATCAGCAGTGTCAAGACAGTCAAGTGGCTTCTTTCCTCGCTCGATGGAGTTGGCATTCCTAAACGCGCACCGCACCGTCGAGTTCATCTCCGCGTCTCCAAATTGCTGACGCCCAAACCGTTAGCGCTTCGCGTGGAGGCCGAGGTTCTTGCGCGCCAAGTCATGGCACGTTCCGCAGCCTGCAGGTAGGCCGCAGATCCTCCTGCACCGTTGAACGGAACTAACAGCTGGCCGGGAAGTGAAACCTACGCTATGCTCGAACCCGCAGCCGTTTGTTCAACTCGGCGCATAATCGGCTAGGCTGGCGTCCTACTCGAGCCTCGCAATACTTATCCGTGGTGAGTGACGATACGTCATAAGAGGTGCCGTTCATCCGTGTGGGCCTGGCACTCGTTTTTGGCCACTGTCAGTACAGTTCCCCCCTCTGGTTCGGGTGCCTAGCGTCTATGGGGTGTACGGATCTTACAAAGAGAGTCCGAACAACACCAGGCACCCTGACTTGGGGGGGGGACTGTACGCAGCTGTCAAACTCATAGGGGTAAAGGCAGAGCAGCCCGTGCGACCCCTGCCTGATAGGACGTGCGAAAGTGCAAATGAAGGATGAGTACATAGGAGTACATTGCACAACTGGAAGCTTGCATGTAGTGACATGACGCATCGCGCGATATGTCAGCATGGCAATTTCCTTGCTCGCGAAAGCGGAGCGAGCGTGCACCGTGTTTCTGCTTTGGCGCGCAATGGTGCCAACAGGCGCCCAGGCGATGACATAGGCCCTCCTCACGTGAGTCAAGCACTACGGACCAAAAGCCCTAAACAGAAACCCGGAGGTGACATGATATCGGACCCATCGAGCCAGTCACATCTTGGACATTGAATCCACAGCTTGAGTGATCTTCTGGTAGGACGGGTCGATGTCGAGGAGGCTCTCGACGACGCGAGTGCACTTTGCTCGGCGGGCTACCTCAACCATCGACGTGACCACCCCTTCCCGCCCTGTGTCTGAAGTGGCCTCGCTTGAAAGAACCGGGCGCGTGCTGCGTTGCGAATGCCTTGATAACACGACATTGCCGCGTCTGAACAGGCAGTCTCGCTGATTTTGGCTTGCGAAGACTGGAACAAAGAAATAATGGAGACACTCAGGCACAGTGGCAGTAGATGCTGGTGTTCATTGGAGACGAGCGTGAAATCAACAAGGCGAGACGCTGCTATTCAGCAAACAAGCAAACAAATCGATCGGCTGCACGTGTGGAGACGCACATATTCATCATCCATCAATCGCATGCGTGGGTAACTTCGGCACAATTCCCAGCATATTATTCAGTAAGAAATGCACTGCGGGGTCGGAGTTGTGTGTCGACGCCAGGAGCCAAATGAGATGAGCTCATCATCAAAATACTACCGTTTGGTAAAGTTGCGCAGACCACGTCCTCGAGGACAAAGGCCAATGTCAGAATATGCAGGTAGTTCGGGGCTCAGATATGTCGTGTCATGAGGAAAGCCATGAGTCTACTATCAAGATAGACGCGGTTGCCTCTGGCTGAGAACACCACTAGTACATAGCCAGACAATGTCATAGCCCGTTTTCATGGCAAAGATATCTTGAAGACATCCATACCCCCTGATGGTAACAAAACTCATCCCAACTGGCTCTCGGCGATCGACACGAACACGCCTTCTATTTCACCCATCTTGAGTGTCGCAAAGGGATTCGAATCGCTTGACCTGCGCTTGACTCCCGCAACGACGTTCTTCGCGACAAGCCCAGACGGTGGAGTAACCGCCCGGGGTCGGTAAGAACTGCCATTCTTCATGAAGTCGGCATGTTCGATGGCTGCCGCCTCTTCCGCTGTCATCTGCTCGCCGGCAACGTCATCGTCTCCAGCTTCGTCTGGAATACGGACAGGCTTCCGTGCGTCGTACATTTCGCCGTCTGGGGTGTGTAACAGAAACTTGGTCTGCTTGGCTTTCCCTTCTTCGAGACGCTTGTGCAATTTATCGACCCGCTGTCTTTCAGCCTTCCTCTCCGTCTTCGTTTTGGGGTTTTCGATTCTCTTGCCCTTTGCCACTACGCTTTTCACTGTCCTGACCCTCTGCCGGGGCTGCCAGTCATGCGAGTCCTTGGCCTTCAGCGCTTGATAGTCGGCCTTGACGTCGTCGGGTATCTTGACCTTCCGCTGCTCGAGCAAACCCCAGAGGCGCTCGAGCATCTGGCGCGTTGCGGGCAACTCATCACGTAGTTCCTTGAGAGCATCTTCTTGAACAGATTGTGTCTGTCTGTCGACGCGGTTCTTACGAATCCCATTGCGGGCTTGTTGAAGGTCGCGCCGAAGAAAGGCGTTGATGCGACAGACGCGGTATCCTTCCGATGCGACCTCGGCTGCGTCTGCGCCACCTTGGAGACAATTTCTGATTCGCGCGATGTCGCTATTTTCTTCGAGTGCTAGCTGTGTGCCCTTCGTTTTTGATGGCCGATTCGCAGTGGCGGGGTCTTGCGGGATGGCCATGTTCGTAGGTAAGAGAGGGTTCGATTTGTAGTCGAATATATTCAGGTACGCAAATGTGTTCAGCCAACGTGCAATTGTGATTGTGGGGACATTAGATCTGGAATAGAAATTCGAAAAGTATGGAGCAATCGTTGCTTCCTTTGACCAAGATAACAAGCGCGTGCGGACTATAGTAAAGGAAGCGGGACAATTCCACGGTCACCGCGACCTTCCGCCGGTCTTTCACTTTGACGTCATGACGGCTGTATCGCCAAAACAGCAGCATCAGGCAGCAGCGAACATTTTTACGTACACCGCAACAGGTTGCCTGAGGAGGGTGCAGGCCATGTCTACGGAACAATACAGC